CTGGATAAGGCAGAAAGAAAGGTGACAGCAAGAGAATCAGCAGCTAGATAGATGGTTCTTGAATTGTGATTAGAAAGACAAAATGCCAGAGAAAAGGAAAATGTCAGGGGCAGAGACCATAGGCAGATGTGAGGGCTTAAAACAATGCACACTGGCAAATTATTTCAGAACTGCAGTTTCTCAGCAGGAGTAATTTCTTGCCAGGAGATTTTGACAGCAGGATCCAGGGATGTTAGAAGCCACTCTCAATTCTGATCTCCTCTGATGACACAGGTGACAACAGAGACTATTGCATGCACAATGCATTGGATTGGCTCTCCAGCATGCTCCTGTCTAGCTGGTAGAGAAGCAAGGCCCCTGACCCCACAGTATTAGTCTTCCTATGCATTTACAAACAGATCTACTGTGTGTGTTTGGAGGGAGGGGGCATAGAGGGACTGTTGGCAGCAAGAAACCAGCAAGTAGCATGCTACTGAGCTGCAAGTGGGTATACCTCATGGTAAGAGTTTGGAATCTACCTGCACAGGCCCAGGGGACATAGGGTGGACCTAGGAAGTGGCCTTCTTCCTCCCCCAACATTGCTCAGCCATAGCACCAAAGTCTCCTTAATTTTAGTGCCATGTTGCCCATGTTGCTGGCCACATCTGGGATTTTCTGCAGTCTTTCTCTTTTCCACTGTGGCATTTCAGGAGACTCTTAGATGGCTGGATTCAAAAGCCAGCTCCATGGACAATGATAGTCAGCTTTTTGGAGAAGAACAGAATTCTAGAATCAACTATACTTCTCACTCTAAATGGGCTAGCTGAGGTCTTAGATTAAGATGGGGACATGAGATCCATATAAATGGAACCTTCTGAAGATAGCGGAAACAGAGAACATGCCATTTGGGAACTGATCAAGGATAGGCAAGTAGGGAAGGGTACCCAATCTATACTTTGTCTTCTTAGGTTTTAATTAACACCCCTCTCTCATCAGCAGAGTTTGCCAATTAAAGGCCAATCTCTCTTGATTCCTTTGCTTTAAAAGGACATTTCGATTCACCCAAGCAGGCAATTAAATCCCCCTCAAGCCTCGCCCTCCCCAAGGCTTTGAATAAGCAGAGTCCTATCTGCTCCTAGCATCCTGCATAGAGCACTGGCTAGGAACTGAACTCAGGTACTCAACTGAAGTTATCAGAGTCCCAGGCTCATCTAGGGAGATCAACCCTGAACGCCAAGCCAATCCCTTCACTGATAGCAGAAAACCACTGTTTAGATTTTGTCTTTGCTGGATATACAACTACAGTGTTTCTCCCTGGAAGATCCTGGGTATCTCACTCCCTCCCCAACCCCCAACCCCAAGCTTTTACTCTGCTCTTCTCCCCTCCCTCTTTTCTCCCTCTCTCCCCCTCCTCCCCTCTTTCTTCCCTCCCTTCTATCTTATTCTCTCTTCCCAGACCCCTTGAAAGGCAACTAGATTGCTTCACCTTTATAACGTTTGTAGTTAACTCCCTCCTCCCAGAAGCCTGGCATCTGAGGTTCACCAAGCCTACATCTTAGAAAGAAGTCAAGCCACTCCTAAAGGGCAAACCATTCCAGAGCCCCTCAGTCTGTAAGGAAAGTGCCTTTTGTTCTGCAAGCTCTGCAAGTCCTTACCTGGTTGAAGTACTCACTGGGACTTTCTAAGTGTTGGGGCCCATTGCTCCCCATCTCCTTCCCCCATCCTAGGCCCAACAGAGTTCAGGGTTAGTCTTTGATAACCTTATTGTAGAATAAAGTTGGGGATATGTGGCATATCTACAGTCCCCACTATACCCACACAACACAACCTTGGGTCCCCCAGTCAGGTATTTGGGGAGTGGGGGAGGTGAACATTGCACTTTAATGATCTTAAGATCCTCCATTTACTCCTCAGTTAGGAATTGAAAAGGGAGAGATATTTGATGTTCAATATTGCCAACCACCAGCAAGTCTCTGAATTTACACTTTGTTATCGCATGGCCCTTTCCTTCCTGCTCTACCTTAGGCTTGCCTTGCCAGAAGGGATTGTGCTGCTGAATCGTACACATTGCCATCTGTTTGTGTAAAGCAGATGTAATTGCCAGCCAGCCAAAGCAATATAAAAATTTAGTACATACCCTGAAGGATTATAACTTAAAATTCAATAATTATGCTTCAGAACGCCAAATGTGTGAGTTTTCCTCGCCTTTGGACAGTTAGCCTGGAGTGATTGGTCATTCTTTTCTTGTTGTTGTTGTATTGTTTTTTATGTTTGATTTTTTTAAATTCAGAAGCTTTCTCTTTTAAGACTGATATAATTAAATTAAATTATTATCATATTTATGTAGCCTCCTTTCATGGGATAAAGAGATATATTTCAAATTAGATCGCCTCCATTTTATTCATGAATTGCTGTTATCAGCCAACCACAAGCAAAGCACCTTCAAGTCTCATTAGTTTTAAATCAGTTTTTCCCAGGATGCTAAAATCCTAGCGCTTCTAAATCTAAAAAACAAAACAAAACAAAAATCCCGCTCACCTTGCCTGTGAAATAACTAAAAATAAAAACCAACATTCTAAACTTACAGATTTTTAAAATTTAAACTAGAAGTAGTTTAACAGCATGTTGTGTTCCACAGAACAGATAGCAAGCAGGAAAATGAATGATGAGGCTTGAGGTGTAGTTCAGTTGATAGAGTGCTTGACTAGCATCAGCAAGGCCTTGAGTTCAGTCCCCAGGGCTGGAATAAAATAAGAGCAACATAGTATGTTAAAAAATAAAGTATTAGCTCCTGATATCAGACAACAAATTTTAATATAACATAGCCCCAGAGAAACCAAAACATCTGGGTTTTTTTTTTTTTGTTTTTGTTTTTGTTTCCAGCTCTTTTCATTTTAAAGTATGGTTTTCAAAGAGATTGGTTACAAGAATACATTTGGAATTTTACTATTCTGTGCCCATCTATCTGCCTGTTCGATGGTTCTCAACTATTTCTTTCCATGGTATCTGGAGGGACTCATCCAGAGAAATACAGAGAAGAAAGGTTTGACTGCCTTCACGCTGGTGTTTGGTGTCACCGTTCACAGTCAGATCTCATTGTCATTGGAAGCACTATGCACTTTTTATATGAATAAAACTAATTACCCATTTCAACTTTATAAATCTTTCTCTTAATTGTATGTTCGACCAGAAAGGTCAAAACTAACCCAGTCTTGCAAAGATTTTTAGAAATATTTCTTAATACCTTTCTTTCTAGAGCTAAAAAAAAAAAAAAAAAAAAAAAAAAAAACAAAAAAAAAAAAAACAAAATAAAAAACAAACCTACATTAAGACAATTGCTGGAGGAAGCACATTTATTTGTTGTTCTTAGATTGCTTAGAAAAGTTCGGTGCACGTTGAAAATATTTCTGGACAAAATCACAAATGTTATCTGTGGGAGAAGGGTTCCTCTACTTTTCCATCTTCACATTGGGAGTGTGAAGCAGCTTTCCCGAACTTTCCCTGTGCTGGTGTTCAGCGTCTCCAACAAATAGCCCGCCACCTCGGAGCCCAGGCAAGACCATGCTAAGCTTTGAAAAATAATTTAGGGGAAACTTATGGTATTTAAGGACCCCCATAGTAAACTCCCATGACACTGAGACAGGCATTATGTTTGGTGCAAGCGGCAAACACACACATACACACAAAACACACACACACAACCTATCACTGTTTACACGTGTATTCAGCCATGAAATTGAATACTATCAGAGTTGAAAAATGCAAATCAAATTAAAAGCAGAGAAAATTGCCTTTGGAATTACAGTACTCGGGAGCTCCAGAGTGTTTGCTTAAATGGAAACATTAAAAAAAAAATAACCAAGAGTGTCTAAAAATTGTCTTCACGGTTGTCTCCTCACTTCCATGGGCTTTAAAGTTTTATTAGGAAATAACATCCATACTGAGGTACAAACTGTCCGCTACTATTAACAAGCCACATTTTATTTTCTCAGAACATCACTTTTCTTAAATATCAAATTGCCCCCGTTTAGCCACAAGTCCTTAAAGTCAGGACTGCTTCAGCATCCCCGATTCACTTTCGGAGCTGAGCCACGGTTGCAGTCCCCAGCCGGCGCGCTCAGGGTGCACAGCAGCGGAGCCGGGGCCCTAGAAGCAATTCAGCTTGCAGCTCGCGAGGGCCAGGATTCCGAATGTGTGCCTTGGCAAGCAGAGCCTCTAGTGTGGCCCTGGTTGTTTCCATCTCGCCGACCACTGGGTGCAGAGACGCGCCAAACCCCTGAGAGCCAGCGGGCCAAGGTGGAAAGCTTCTCCCCTGTGCTCTCACAGCCCGCTGGGATGCGGCGGGGCCAAAAGAAAAGGGAAATGCCCTCCCTGTATGGGGGAGAAGAAGTAAATAAAAACAGTTACTGAAGCAGGTGAGAGAAGCAACCTTTGGTCATGCAATCCAAGTCCCAGATTGTGGTTAACCCACCCTCCTCGGTCTTGACAGCCAACTTGGGCGAGACCAGACCTACTCCGCTGACCCCCACAGTGGGCAAAGACAAGTTACTTCTCTTCTACCCCTCCCCCACGTCCTTCAGGTCCCTGGGAAAATCAAACTTGGGTCTCTGTTTTAGGTGCTAAGGTTAGCAGCTTTCGGAGACAGCCTTGGGCCAAGTGTTAGCCAGACCAAGGAAGTCAAGTCCACCTGGGTCCTAAGTGAGGAGTTCTAGGGACCCTGGCAGTGACCAGGCTGTGCTAACGCGGGGTAGGAAAAACTTTCACGTTATTTGGTGACCTCTGCGGATATTCGTTTCGCCCTTCCCGTCCACCTGTTCTGGGTCCAAGAAGCCTTGGTCTAGCCCACGGTCGCAAAGAGCGATCTGACTTTTTCTTCTCTGGGGAGGAAGACAGTTGGTGGCCCTTGCGTTATTCCTTCCTCCCTCCTGGCTATCCCAGACCTGATGATAACTCCTGTTCAGCAGTGGGCAGCAGTTGAAGCCGGTTTTTACTTGAAACCTGCCGGTCTATTTCTTTTTCAGGAACCTCACCGGTGCTGAGCAGTGAGAAAGCAGCCCCGAGGCTCCAGGGCAGATCCCGTAAGTTCCAGTTGGGGAGATTCCGGACCCTTTTCCAAAGAGAGTTGCGCTGATCGCGTGTGCGTTGTTTTCAAAGCCAAGTAAAGGAAATAACAGCCAATTAAAATGAAATATTTTCAGTTCCCTCCTATGTTGTCAGTGATTTGCCCCCGGGGATCTACAATTTTCCCAAGCCTGTTAACGGGTGACAATGAATGAGTGTCTCCTGTAATTTAATTTTCCTGTCACATTAAATAGAGCTACATTGTAAACCTTAGATCTACTCTTACTGATAGTATCGCCTTGTTTTGTCATTTGCACCATAAAGACCCCCAAAAGGGACACGGTATTGTGACCGCCACTCTTGAATTATTCAAGAACTTAATGACATTTTCCATTTTAAAAAGGGAACTAATTGCCATTGATGCGAAGCATGTGACCTTCTGGGGTGCCCAGTATGAGAATGTTACCATCTGTACACCCACACCGAGACACACAACAGCAAAAATATGGGAAACTGTAAACAAGATGGACTCAAAATGGACACTGAAGTCACCTATATTATTTAATCCCACCTAAGCCAAAACATATAGTTCCAAAATCTCATTACTTGACCGAAAATCTATGTCAAATGTGTCATAAATCAGGTCTACTTTGGGAGACCTGAGGTGACTTTTTACTGAGATGACACAGGATCCTGAAATCAAGTACCCATCTTAAATGTAAAATTAGTTTGTGTTGTGTCAAGCATAATATTCAGTGGTCTGTCCTGGCCCCTTTCTGGCTTTTCTTCATTTAATTGCTTATTTATTGGAAAGGAAAAGGAACTCAAATTATGAAGACAGTTCATCTCAGAATATGCGGTTTGAATCTGTCTATCTTGAGTCCCCTGCAAAGCCAGGGTTGCAACTCTTCATTTGTATGGCTATCTTAAATTATTGAGATGGGTGTTTTTCTTTTTTTCAAAGAGAAGACAGTTAGTGTGTTTCCTATAGTGTTTCCCCTTTTTCCTTAGTTCCCAGGAAAACAGAGGGCATAAATGAGCTTCCTTCAGCAGCCTACGACTTCATAAATACACATACTATCTACAGAGGTCCTTGTGTTCCTGAGCTGATCTGCAGCCACTAAGAACCACAGGAGAGGCTGGAAGGGGTGTTAATAAACTCAGGAGCAAAACCCTTCCCTGTGCTGAGCTCCAGATAATTCTTTGAATTTTTAAGTGATGGTTGAGATGAGGCTTGGAGATTTCTGCAGAGAACCAGAGTTCCATTCAGGTCAACACCCTCAAAGTCACCTAGCTTAGCAGAGAGCTAAATATCTTGTGCAGGGCTGTGAAGCTCCATCCCTCTTTCTCTCACAGAATTTCTGGAAAGAGGAATGAGATATTTGTGAATATCTAAGTAGATTTTCCACGAGTATTTGACAAACTGCTGCTGGGTCAGCATGGGGTCAGCTGTGAAACAACTGAATTAGCTGGAGAAGTATACTAAATGCTTTTAAAAAGAGCATTGCTGTAAAATTGTCAGTTACTGGAGCTAAATAATGAAGCAACTGTTTTCGTTTTTTCTTAAAGGAAACCTGTTCTCTCCTTGGTCACATGTGCTCTTGTGTTCAGTAATATGACAGAAGAAATGTGTTAAGGTACTGGGTTATTTGTTTATTTGTGGTGTTCTCCTACCCAGCCACACTTCCAACCCAGAATAGTTGTTACTTATTAAATAATAGACATTTTAAGAATGTTGTATAATGTGATGAAAGCACCCTTTATGGATTACATGTTAAAACCATTTTAGAGATATTCACATGTATTTCTAGTTTTTTTTCCCCTCTTGAATAACTTGTCGACTGTAAGACTAGAATAAATTATCAAGAGTCTCCTGTCTGAGCTCTATTGTATAGTGATATTATCCAGGAATTTGGTATGCTATCAAATAAAACTTAATTTACCTTCCCATATTTTTGGATTCAGGGCCACTTGAAAAGCATTTAAGTACTGTGGAAAGTTCTAGGCATCTTCTGGATACAGGGTTTCTCTCTTCTGGCTCCATTTCTAGAACTCACCCTGTCCTGAACAAGTGTCGGTATTGGTCTTTACAAGAGCCAGGTGCAGGATTTCATTCTTATTTAATGGATGGTTCTAGAGAGGTGTATAAGAACTTCTGATAGAGGGATCATGCTTAACTCAGTTGCATCTAATCTCTGCTTCCTGCCTTCCAGTAAAAACCATCTTTGAAAAGCATTTCCATTTAACTTTTTTGAAAGAGCAAAATAGAAACTTCTGCCACAGGACAGGCAGAAGCATCCAGTTCTATATCTGTGAAATGGACCTCTTATTTCTCCACCCAGCTCATTGTGAAGGGTTTCCTCTGAGGCTTTGCTATTGAGGGAGCCACTTTTCACCATTCTTGCTTGTGTCTGGAATTGCTGAAAAGTTGAGTGATCATGCTCTGTGTTTAGGTTAAAAAGAAATACTAAGCACACATGGGAAAGGATGAATAAGGACATTATTTTGGGAAAAAATAATTTCACTTAAACCTAGGCAAATACAGCATCAGACCATATCCCAGGTTCTAAAAGGGGTCCACGAATCACACCAGCAAACAGCTGTCTTGTGTCTGTCCATTGCTTTGATACCAGCCAAGATTTTTTTTTTTTTCATGCTTTCAGCCTGGCTACTTAGGTTCTACCTTCTGGACTTAGTCCTTTAAGTATCAGAACTACTAATTCAGGGTTCTCAAAATCCTAAAGCTAGCAAAGTCAGCAGCAACATTCTGCCCTGTCATATTACATTAAATGTCTGTACTTAGACATAGTTACTGGACTTCTGAGTGTCTATGTTTCCTCTGCTGGGAAATAGCATCAAGATAGCTTATCTGTGACATGGTTATCAACAATACCTTTAAAGGAAAGACAGTTCTTCTTGTTTTGTTAGCTGTTTCATAAGCATGAATTGTCTTGCAATTCTGGGTCAGGATTCTGTGTAGACATGGAGCATTGTTTCAGCAAAAGATAGCTATCATATTACTTAGTGGTGACAGTGTCCAGCTTGAGCAAATTGCACTTTAGAAATAGAAATACCCTGTCCATTCTAGTTTTTTTTTTTTCTTCATGGATATCAGGGGATATGAAACCCCTACATGATTTTAGGTGAAATTCACATGCTTGCTTTTTGCTTGTTCTCTTTGTTGACATTTTAAGTTGCTAATTAAAGCACCGATAAAAAATTATCTGGATTCATTAGGAGTGATCATTTCTATAACAAGAATATAGGGAGAACCTCACACACCCCATCAGGAGGAATCTTACCTTTTCCCCTTTTCATACAATTCTAACAGGAACAGGGGCACTTTTCTTTTGTCTTTTTGTTGTTTGTTTTTTGTTTGCTTTTTCTAGACAGTTTTTCTGCAGCCCTGGCTGCTCTGGTAGCCAAGGCTAGCCTTGAACTCAGAGATCCACCCATATCTGTCTCGCAAGTGCTGGGATCAGAAGTTACCTTTCTCTTAGCTTTTACTGGGGAGGTGGGGGATGCTCACTCTGTAGCCTAGTCTAGTCTCAAATTTGTGACCCTCCTTCCTTAATTTCTGGAGAGCTAGAATTACAGCTGTATGCTATCAAACCAGGCCCTTGTTTTCTCTAGATTTGCTTATTCACCACTACTAGAACAAAAAGATGAGCCAGAGGAAAGGCATTGGCAGGTCTGTTTGCCTAAGAGCACCATGTGACTTGGGAAGCACAGAAGCTTCTCCCTATGCTGAACTTTGACCCTCACAAGAATGTCCCCAAAAGGCCATCATGACACTACAGATAGCCCTGCATACTTTCCTCAGTGTTTACTGCAACTAAATAGAGGAATGAGACAAAACAAGGCTGGCTAATAGGGAAGTGGTGGTGGTCCTGCCCCAGGTAGGTGCTGTGCTGTATGCAAATGTATACAACTGGTAAGTCCTATACAACCAAGCAGCAGCCATGAGAATTCTCAGTGGAAAGATCTTAAAATAAAAAGGGTTGATTTGACCTTCCTACAGAACTGAGATTATCCAAGTTATTTAATCTCCCCCAGAGTTACCGAATCTTATGGGGAATAAACAATGGTGTGTGTGTGTGAGAGAGACAGAGAGACAGAGAGACAGAGAGAGAGACAAAGAGAGAGAGAGAAAGAGACACTCATTGTTAGAAATCTTTATCATAAGACCCAAGGGATGATCTGAGATAGGAGACCTCTTCAATGGCCAGGAAGTATCTACTAACTCAAGAGCAATTTTGTGGTGAAGGATGGCTGCTTACCCATACCGTGGGGACCTTTCTTTGTTGGTCTGACAATGTTGGAAGCTAATCCATACTTCTCAGAAAGATGAATAGGACAAGGATACAAAAGTTCCTGGAAGACTCTCTTGGGAGGGCAGGGCAGGCTGACTAAAAAGCTCCTGAACCCAGAAGGATTTACCAAAAACCAGGTCACACTTAATATCTATTGACTAGTGAGGGAATAAAGATGCCACACCTGTGGTGATGTTTTCCTACATTGCAAATGTGGGGAGACCTTTTCTGTTCCTTATTCCCAGGTGAAGAAGGACATACAGAGAATGAAACCCAACCTGCTTAAAGTAAAACGCACCAACCCCAGTGTGCAGCCTGTCACCTCCCCTTCCTTCATGAAGGCCTTTACAAGCTGGGGCGCTTGCTGGGAGGGGGGGGGTTGGTGATATGTGCGAATTTTCAGAGTGCTTTGTTTCTGTGGAGAGGATTCCAGAGGCCCTTGAAGTCCTCTCAGCCTTAAATCCACAGGGGAAGTCTCCCCACCCCCCACCTCCCTGCACCAGCCTTGGGGAGGTTTGGTTGGAAGAAAACTGACCCTGAGTGCACTCTGGGCAAACTAGGGTGAAAGACCTGATATGGTCTGCAGGGTACTTATTAACCACCGTTCATTTGCAGGATCGATACTTCTGGCAAAGGAGTCAACACTGAAGATATACCACGTTGTCTGGCTCTTTCCTTGACACAACAATTTATTTAATAAATGCATCTCCCGCAGAAGAAGGCACCAGGCACTGTGTCTTTTATCTGCAGGATATGCAAAGCGCATTTATTCAGCTTTTATCTCTGGAATTGTATGCTGATCCCATACATATAGATTGATTTTGTTC